GCCTGCCTGGAAAGCGCAAGGTCCCGAGTTTGATCCCCGGTACAAAAAAAAGTCAGCATGTAAGTTTTGGACAGGACTGAGGGCTGAGAGCTCAGTGGTACAGCATTTGTGTGATATGCACCAGGTCCTAGGTTCAGTCTCCACAGCACACACATACAGCCCTTTTTTTTTTTTTGTGAGGCCACAGTTCAGCCCATAATACTCAGGCTCTCCAAGTCAAATGCTGATGGGCCAAACGGGTAATATAGCTAATGAACTGGGCCGGGAAAGAGTTGGTCCTCTCATTCTTTTATTTTCTCACTTTGGAGAGAAACATAGGTAAAACATATTTCATTTTCCTCTTCACCGTGTTGAATACAAGACCACTGACATTTGTTCAAGGCTGCAGTCCAGCTTCCCAGAACCAGCGCCTAGCACCTAGCACCCAGCAAGTGCTCAGTAAATATCAGTTGACAAAGTGAGTCCGCAGAATGGCCTGGACAGTGGGGAGTGGCAGGAGCAGGGTGAATCCTGCCCAAGAGGATAGCAGGCATTCAGCTCCAGCCACCTATTTCCAGATCCCTAGAAGCTAGACTTTCAAATCTCAACTTTTCAGTGGTGGCAACTAGTTCACAAAGCTTAAGGCCCTCCTGCAGGCTAGTCTGTACCTATTGCTCTGCCAAGGGCGCCCACGCTGGGCCAGCACCGCAGCACACCTGCTCACCCCTGCTGCTGCGCATCTTCAGGGAGAGGGGCAGCGAGGCCTAGGGGACTGTGTGCCTCCAGTTGCTCCCGATGACTCAGACACTGGGGCCTGTGGTTCCTCTGCAGGAGGGTGATGCTCTGGGCGCCATGGAGAAGCTGTGCCGGCAACTGACCTACCACCTCAGCCCCCACTCCCAGTGGAGGCGGCACCGCGGGCTGGTGAAGAGGAAGCCACAGGCCTGGTGAGTGACAGTCCCTAGGGGAGCCTGCCCAGCCCCCCTCCCCACTAACTGGACCCCTCCCAGGGCAGGGGTGAAGGGAAGGCCTGGAGTCTAAGGAGGGGTCTGGGCCAGCTGCCTGAACAAAGTGAGATCAGCAAGAATTTAAGGGTGGGACAAGCAGCCAAGAGCACATTGTGGTGAGGAGAGAATATGTTTTGAATTCCACGTGTAACGTGAGCGCCCCAGTGGAACCCCCAGGTCTCTGCAGTGTCCTCCCAGGGTGTCCCAGACCCTACCCACATCCCTGGCCCATGCTGCAGTGAGAACCCTCTCAGGTTTTGCAACCCCTATAGGAAGCAAGTGGAGGGGACCCTGGAAGGCAGGCTTCCCGGGGGGGAGGAAGCACCCCGCCTTCTTTGCAGGGACCGAGGGGCAGAGTGGCAGGCCTTCTAAGACTCATTGGCAAGGCCTTGGTGCTACTACTAAGTCATCCTTATAGGTCCTGGAAGATCAGGCAGGAAAGGATATCCCCTTCCTTCATGGTGCAGAATGAGCTCTAGAGCTGTTTTCTTTTGGAGGAGGGAAGAATGTGAGAAGATGGACCCTGAGGAAGCCTTCCCAGGCAGACAGAGCTGGCCGAGGCCAGGGGCCCAAAAAGGGACAGAGGAAGGGAGGCCTTGGGACCTAGTGTTCAGGGTTGAAAAGCTCAGAGTAGGAGCCCAGCTGGCCTCTTGTTCTGTCCCCAGCACACACATGTGCATGTCCGGTGCATTCTTCATTCACGAGCCATGTGAGGGAGGCTTCCTCATTCCCTACAGGGGGCTTCTCATCACACTTGAATGAAATCCAAGTAGGATGCTATGTGACCACGCCTTCTTCCCTCTCTGGTCTCACCTCTCACTCCCTCACTCCCTCACTCCCTCACCCAGGCGAACTGCCCTAACTACTGGTTCAAGAACATGCCAAGCTCTTTCCAGCTTCAGCCTTGGCACCTACACTGTCACTGCTGGAACTCCTACCAAGCTCCTCTGATAGCCCACACTTTTTCTTGAGTCAGCTCCAGGGTTGGAGCTAGACTCAAACTAAGGTCTGTGACTCCTAAGTGTAAGCTGTTAACCACACCACACGATTTCCCTTGTGCGACGCCTCTGCTTTGGTAATGACACTGATAGAAACCAACATTAAGTCATGCTGAACAAATGCCAGGCAGTGCTCCAAACTGTTAAATCTCCTGCCTTGAGAGCTTTACCTTAAACTTCCTGGGGCTGGACCCCAGTCAGAAGCAACACAGCAAACTATGAACAGCCTCCCAGCTTCAGGAGACCCCACACATAGAGCCTTACCTGGTTCTTCTGGAAGTCTGTGCCCCTTGAACTGCTGGTTCTAAGGTATGCACTTGGTCAGGCTGTAGGCTCCTCTACTCCCGCTCCTGCCGAGGACGCTGGACTCAGGGCTTGCCTGGATGCTTGAAATTGTGAAGAATGAGTAGTGCCCCTGGGCCTCAGTGCCAACGAAGGGCTGCTGGCAGGGCCACTGACCCCAGAGAAAGGAACAGGAAGAGAGAGGAGCCAGGAGCAGCAGATGGCAGTGAGTGGAAGTGGGTGGAGAGCGCTGAGCCTCCAGGAGGCAGTGGCTCCCACCAGGCTCCGAAACCCACCCCTGCACCCTCCCTTGCAGGCACTGAGGATCCCCCATCTGTGGGGAAGACAGGCTCCAGGAAAGGCCTCAGATTTTTGTCCCACTGCTGGGGTCAGCTCAGCTGCCACCCAAGGGTAGTGAAAGCAGAAGCTCAGCCTGTATTTATTTCTCCATCTCTCACCTATAGAAAGCACTCCTCTAAACGTTTTGCATTTATTATTCTACTGAACTGTACCACACCATTAGCTCCTTTTTTGAGGATATTAAGTAGAGGTCAGAGTTGAAGCAAAGGACGTAAGATGCAGGCAAACACAGGACTCACGAAGAAACATTGGAGCCTTCCCTGGTAGTCTCACAGGTCTGTCGGCTTTGGCCCTCAGGCCCTGACCACCCGATCCACCCAGGCTGAAAGGTGTTCGCTGTCCTGTTCTCCTATCCCTGTACACTTAGGAAAAGGATCCCCAGAGTCACTCAGCTGAGCAGTGGTTGGCCCCATGGTGGTAGCTGCCTGCCTCACTTTCCTGAACCCTGTTTGTCCTTGTCCCATCTCCTCTTCAGCCTCAAGGCTGTACTGACTGGGAACCCTCCAGACAACACCGTGGACCTCTCAGGCATCCCACTGACTTCCCGTGACCTTGAGCGAGTGACCAGCTACCTGCAGCGCTGTGGGGAGCAGGTGGACAGCGTGGAGTTGGGCTTCACAGGCCTCACGGACGACATGGTCCTGCAGCTCCTACCGGCTCTCAGCACCCTGCCCCGCCTCACCACACTAGCCCTCAATGGCAACAGGCTGACCC